ATTCTTGTTTAATTGAATTCTTTCTATATTTTATATTTTATCTTTAATATTTATAATCATTCACATAATTTAACCAACACAAGTTCACTACCAAGCTAAACCATTATAATTTAGTAAAGCTTGCTCTCCCAGATAGCAACAATAAAAATTATATTAATGTAATAAGGAACATATAAAACATCTGTATAAAATATTGTGCAAATTTAAACGCTCAGTGTATTTTAAAAAATGTACTACTGGTAGTACAAAAGGTGAAATCCCATCCATCCATTGGTATAATCAAGATTCGATTATGTCATTAGAGGGCTTCATCATATGTATCTTTACTTTTAAAAAATATGCGTGGAATAAAAAATGTTATCATGATTTTACTGAAAATTTACAAATCATCAAATTATTAATAATTGGCACAATGATAGATCAAATAGTAATCAGCTGATTTAAAATTTAAGTGAAGACATATCTGGTTGTGTAATTTAATGTGTTTGTTTCTGGGGTCAGAAATCAATACATTAAATTTTGCACAATAAAAAATGTTATTATATCCGATTTCATCTAATAATGATAGAAATTTATTATGCAACAACTTCATCATAACTAAATACATTCGTGATATGTGTAGATATAACTTTGACCCAGTTAAAATAAGAAGCCGTAATTTTTCTTACTACTTTGGTTGATCGTTTTGCTGCAAATTCTGGTCGAATAAGATGATCTAGCTATTAAATAATGATAGGAAAAGTTATCCCGATTTACAATCTAATCATACGGTCCATATTGCAGATGTAGATTTTATAATGAATTTATATAGTATTTGGTCATTAAAAGTTCCAGCGATCAAATTATGAATTATTTAGTACTTCATTTGAAGTTTACAATACAAAGAAAAATGAACAAAAGCACAACAATAGTAATTTTTGGTGCATCAATTATGATTATCAAGTAAATATTCAGATGGCGGAAAAGATTTATGGATTTGAAATAGTAAAAGAGTAAAGATTGTTGTATTTTTTAGGTGTGCATCATCGATTTGAATTGAAATTTCATTATTATTTTTAAAATTATAATCATCGTAGTATTTCCACGACTCTTATGCCAATTCTTCAAAAGTGGGTCGATGAGTAACTCGAGCATCTCAACACCTCATAATTATTCTAGTAATTAATTTTGGAGTATTTTTGGTCGTAATCCATTGCATATTTTTCTGGCTAAATCTCTATCATGTGGTATATCATAATATGGTGCAAACCCAGTAATTAATTCATAAATTATAAATCCAAAAGAATATAACTCAACAGCCTTTGAACATTCTTCTCCGCATAAACTTCTAGCGCAAATATATTATAATACACCAATCTTATTAGAATTTTCTAAACCTTGTCCAACTATTTTACTTAATCCAAAATCTGAGGTATTTAAAGTTCTATCTTTTAATAAAATATTTCCAAGATGCAAATCCCATTTAATACGTCTAATGTGTGAAAAATACTAAAACGAACTAATTTATAATCCCTTCCCTTATCGAAATGATTTTTTAAATGATCTCTAAGATTTCCATCAGGTATATTTTCTAAAGCCATAGTTTATCAGGATCTTTTGTTGGATAAGCGGTATATTGTTTTCAAGCGAATTCCATCTAAATAATGTATTTTTATAAATTATAATATATAAAAATAATTCTAAAATATTTTATTTCATTTAAGAATTCTTCATTTAAATTTGCAAAATTATCAATTTTTTTTAATACAACAAGTTGAATACTTCGTTCCATTGTCGTTTTTGATATCTCATTTCTCAATACATCCATCAATCCACTTAGCATAATAAACCGCCTTTAACAATTTTTTTAATATCCATTCTAGTACTTTCCCAGACCATTCGGCATTTAGTTGAGAATCCCAAATATATTTATCTATTATTTTTTATCCATCTTTCACAATCATTTTTGAAATGATTTGAATTACATGGTTCGCACCACCAACTATAATATTTTTGATTACATTCTTCACAGAATTCATTTTATTTTGATGGGTGCGGTGAGGTAATTTGAAAAACGGAAATAAAATTTTCGTTTACAACTTTAATTACTTTCCATATAAAATTAAAATATGAGTTGGTACATATTTGATAGCACGGTCAACTCTAAAGAAAATAACATTTATGTCTTGGCTGTAATTTTGATTACTAGCTAAATTTATTATTGGGTACTTATTTATATAAAATTGTGAACTTTTATTCTTTTTTTTTTAATCTAAGGATTTATTCAAAAGAATTAGTATCCAGACTGGAAATAATTATAAACGAAACATTCAATTATATAAATAGGGATTATTTGAAATGGATTTGGCAAAATTCAATGATAATAGCATAGCAATAAAAAATATATATAAAAATAAAGGATTTTTATCAGTCAGGTGATATGAAATTTGAAATAATTGTAAAAAAAAAATAAATAATAATATAATTTTTTATCGCAAGCTAATAAAGTTTACGTCTTTAATGTGACAACAATATTTAATTTTAGAATTGTGTTTTTATTTTATATTTTTTTTTGTCAAATTATCTTATTAATTTTATGATAATACTAATTATGATTTATAGTTATATATTTGAACGCTCATTCTTTGCATGAACTCATTTATTTAAATAACTCACCAAAGGGACTGCGTTAGTTATTTTCATCAACAATGTACTAACCAATAACAGATGAAACAACGTATTCTTCGTTAACCTTATCTTGCCTAGCACCAAATAAACCTGCAAGCAAAACTTATTTAAAAGTATCTTCCAACGTAATCAAATCGAATGAAACATGTACTAATCCAGAAGACACTTCATCAGGATCAATTTCATTTTTCGTAATTTTCTTTCCTAGGTTGTCGTAAGGGAACAAAGCACCTATCCATCCATTCCAATAAAGAATCGCGGAACTTGGAAAGACCAATTCACAATTCGCTTTGCAGATCAAGAAACGGCTATATATAGAAGCTCATGGACTAGATCTCATTTTATAATTGCATGTCATGTCACATGACAATTTAAGAAAATAAAAAATCGAATGAGATAATTTCTTTTAAAGAAAATATATATACAAATGAAAATAAATAAAAATAAAATAAAAAACAAAATAAATAAATAAATGAAAATACAAAATAATTTTTTGGCGTATCATCAAGTGGACAGGCCATTCATTATGACCATAATTAAAATTTTTTTTTTCAGGAGTTTTGTTTTTAATAAAATCTTTTCTTTACAATTCATATCTTCCTTCATAAGACGACTCGCCTTTTAATTTGGTAAAAAATGTATTTAAATATATGATTATAGCTACCAGAAGATTAATAATCACAATTTACAATAGTTTTATTTTTTATAATGCTTTATATCTAAAGTGGCTCTTATTTGTTTTTTCTTCATATGACTTGAGCGGAAAATTCAATTGGCATGACGTGTTACTATACATTTTGTAACAAGCAAAAGAATAATTTAAATTTTGGATTTTTGATAAAAAAGCTAGTATCATTAATTTTTCTTTTTTTTTTTACATTTTATTCATCCATTGTGCTCGGAATATTTAAATTCATAATTTATTAAAATTATTTTCATTAAAAATATTTAATTATTATAACAAAAATGAATTCCATAAACTTTGAATGAATTATCACTCAAAGTTGAATTTTATAACAATAAGAAAAAATGAAACAATTATTATAGAATTTGAAGCAAAACATGTATTAAAAATTATTTAAAATCTATTTGAATACAAAAACAGAGAAATGCGTTTGCATCATTTAAAATTTTTTCAATTTTCTTAAAAGTAATATTATCTTTTTTATTATCAAAATTAGTGCATTCTTGAGAATCACAAATATAAAGTTGATTATTTTTGTTTCCATTTTGATTCCTCAGAATCCATATAATAAGTACATAAATTAGGATCTATAAATATAAAAATTAGTGATTAATTATTACAAAAAATAATTATACCTGCACATTTTCCAGATTTTATATCTTTTAATGAATCTCGCAATTCATAAAGAGTATAAATATGTCTACTAATATAACAGGATTGAGGGTGAATATTATATAAAGATTGAATTAATTTTTGTTCATGAAATTTATTCATTCTTTTTTTTATTATCATCAGCATATAAAAAATAAATGTAATTTGTATTATATTATTTAATTGCCGAGCAGTTAGTCGTTTAGAATGATCATCATCCCAACATTGATACATCTTGTCTAGATAACATTTTGGAATCAAAATTAACATAATATCAGGAACTTTTGGTCTTACACCATTACATATATCAATTATCAAATAAGTATCATGTGCTTGATCAGCAAATGGAAGGTTTTCAGTAGCCATTTCATACATAATCCCACCAAACTATAATATCACTCTCCTTCGTAAATTCATTCCTCTTAATACCTCTGGTGGAATAAATGAAATTAAACCATAAACATTATTGTTTTTGTTATCAGAGTTTAAAATTAAGTTATTAATAAACCAGGATCTATTATTACAGTAAATGAATCTGAATATCAAAGCATTTTTACTATGTAAAACATCATGAACTAAGTTATTTTCATGTAAAATATTAAGATCTTTTATTATTTGATATAGTAATCTTTTTTTTTGGAAACCACCCAATTTTTAGAAAGATATCAGATAAAGAACTATGAGTGGTATCATCATATGATTCCATAACAATAATGTAGTTTTGTGCAGAAGGATTTTTCGAAATTCCAAAAAATTTTGTCACGTATTTGTAATCACTAATTTCTATTTCCTTAATCTGAAATATAATCAATAATAAATAATTATTGTTGAAGTTAATATTTTAAATAAAGGAACATACCGCTTTAATAAATTCCGAAATATCATATTTATAATCTTTTAATTCCTTTAAAGCAACAACACTACTGGAATTATATTTCCACTCCCGTTTGATAAAATCCCAATAAATTTTTATGCAATTTCTTAAAGTAGCAAAATGCATAATGTAAGATCTATTATCAGTCATGTGTTTGATATCATGAAAGTTATCATAAGGTATCCATTGTAAATTAGATGTTACATTAATTATTTGAGATTCTTGGATAATCTTATCAATGTTAACATTCCCACTAGACCAAGTTCCAAATTCTTTAATAAAATTTTCTTTAGTGCATGTACGACAAATTCCATTTTACAGTTAAAATAATAATGACCAACGGGGCAAAACGTTTGTTGAGTTTGCATTTTACAAAGTATTACAAATAAAAAAAGGTAAAACAATTCAATGTATACGAAGATCTTAACTGTCATTTTTAAGCTAATAATAGCTTACAGTGCAAAGAAAATATTGACCTATTTTCTCGTACAGAAGTTTGGAAATCTTTAAGGAATGCTTGTGGTGATATTTAAAAAAGAGGCACAGGTAAATTTTAAAGCCACATTTTTATAATATTCTTATAATTCATTAATTCAATTTTTTTTTATAATAATCAGAAGATTCGTGTAATGATCTACTTAATAATAGAAAAGGTTATAATTATTTTATTTAATTGTCTCGTATTAGACAGTTTTTTTAAGGATTGAAGATGGCGGATGCATTATTCAAGTTACCCTGGCGCTGGTAGAATTGACAGCAGAGATTGGGCAGAAAATTTGGATAGAATGTATGAAATTTGTGAAATCAAGAATAGTTTTGAAGGATTGCATAAACATAATTTTAAAGTTGTAAGAATTTAGTGATGAAGTAGGATTGATTTTAAAATTCATCGTTGTAAGGATTTCTCCTTTTATGCGCAGGTAATTAATGAAATAAATTTAATAAAAAAATACGTTAAATATATTTAAATATATTGAATAAAATGAACAATATACTATATATATTTGAATATGATATTTAATAATAAATTAGAATTAATTATATGGAATAGATGATTCACATTGTCTTCTTTAGTGATGATTCTTTCATCTGTTGAAGAAAATGACTTGATCACTCGTGAAGCAATAATAAATATTCAATATTCCGATCACAAGACTGAAGCTTTTTCGTTCTAGTGGATTGGTTAGATCGTATATTTTATATTCCTTATCATAGTTAAAAGTTGTTAAGTATTATAAAGAATTTATATTTAAATTCCTTTTTTTTGTTTGATTCAAGAAAACTTCACAAACTATATCCGTATTGAGTGGAGTGAAGTTGAAGTATCTATTGTTATTTATTTTAAAAATATCGTTTTGAGATATTAACTATTAAATAATATTTAAGGAACTATATTATCTAAATTAATAAATTTATTAAATTTGGATTTTTAGAAATTTCATTAATTTTAAAATCTTTTAAAAAAATAATCAGGTACATGATATTGCTGATTACATCATTTATCAAGGAACCATTTATTCAATGGATAAAACATTTATAAATATTTTAATTACTTTAATGACATTGGAATGAATAAAGAAAAATGATAACTTGTTTTTTCTTTTTGATCAATTGTATTTTCTTTATTGGTTTTTATTTTAATTTAGTTTAACTTTCATTCAATAATGAACATGTGTAATATAATATATCATTTAAATTATTAAATAAAATGTGATTTAATTTTACTTGTGCTTTATTAGTTACAAAACAGCAATTTCATGTCATGTGATGCTGTTATGTAAAAGTAATAAATATTTATTAAGACAAAGTGTACATGTTCCCAAAATTGATTTTGGATTTTTGAGGTATTTCGAATTTTTGAGATTTATGCAAAATCTATTCTATATATGGAAGTAAAAAAAGTACCCAGTTATATGTATCTTTAATCAAAG